GCAAGGATTGAATATTCATGTGGTCACACTGCCCTGGACTTGTCTCAGTATCAGGTCTGTGTCTGACAATGTAGGCTCATTGATCTTCATTGCTCAGAATGATTAGAAGTTGAGTGGAGCCTCACCTGACGTAATGAAGACTCTGGAGACAATTAAACAGGTCCTCAGGGCAGCTGTTGCCTAGCAGATGTCTCCTGGAGTTATAGGAGAGCGAGATCTGCAGCCATTTGCACTATTAGAGTTTAAAGGAGAACTGTGGGGTTAAGGCTTTTCCCCATAGTTCTCAGGGTAACGGGAGGACACAAACTAGCGTTCTCCCGTCACCCTAAGCTTAGTATACCGCAAGCTACAGCTCGCGGTATACTGAGACGCCGAAGCGAATCCCGCCAATTATGTCTGGATCCGCCCAGCTGTGTGTGACACCTGGCTCTGCCTATCTATAGGCAGAGCCAGCTGTACCCGCCCCGTCCGATGCGCCAGTCAGCGCTGGCGGAGAGGGGGGAATCCAGCCCCTCCCCTGTCACGGCAGACGGCTGTGACAGGATTGAGATGTGAGCGAACACCGATATGTGTTCGCTCACCTCCCGATCTACTGAGCAGACCTGTGACAGTCTCATTGTCACAGGTCGGCTAGAACTACGGTATGAGGTGAGTGAAATGCACTCGCCTCATAGTTCTCCTTTTAAGTGATCCTTGTCGGTACCGGCAACAAAGCAAGCGTGATGCATTGAAACTTCTCCATGAGAAAATGATGAATCGGATGTTGATTTCCAGTGGAATTATTAGGAAGTTGAAATTCTTAGTGTGGAAATGATCCCCCCAGACTGCTGGATGAGCTCCTTTTTTCAGGAACAATAAAATGGATCATTTCAGCCTAGCAGCATTCCTACCATACAGATGTACATCAGGGTGGGACAAATCCCAGGAGGCAGGTAGCCAATGCGATTAAAAATCACTGCTGACTCCTAACTTTTTGTAGTTTTTCCTCTAGTTGTTAATGGAACTGGCTCTTAACTCAAAAAAAACTGTATTGGACAGACTGGTTCCTGAATTTCATATTTGTCCACCCGTTTTTTATATACAAAAAACTCCCCCTTTATCCGGCACTCTGAAGCAACCAGGGGAAAAAAATCAAGGGCATAGGTCGTCTTTTTTTTTTTTGTCTTTTATTTCCTGGTGGCTTGATGCACATTAAAACATTTTATTGGCAACTAAATGTAATTGATAACAAAATTCTTTGTTTACATCTTGCTACCAGATTCAGCAGCCGAATGTACACAATAGGGAGCAATAGCCAGTCTGCTATTTCAAATTGCAATAGCAGGCAAGCTATTGTACCTGCCCACTGAGCAGAGAAGTGGACTTGGGAGAGAGGACGTTCTCTCAGGTCCACTCAGAGGGCAGGTGCAATAGTGTGCCCGCTATTGCAATTGGAAATAACAGGCTAGCTATTGCCCCCGACACTTTACATTCACCTGCTGGCTGTGTAATCTAGCCAGCAGGTTAAATTGGGAAGGGGTGGTTGGTTGCTTGCGTTACTATTAACTCTCAAGCAAACCTGTGTTATCTGGCATCTACCGATCCCTATGGGTGCAGGTTAACTGAATTTACTGTACACTGTTTTGGGGTAGGTTGTCTTGCTCTGGTTGGCACCTCCATGAAATGCCCTCTTTACATGGGCAGCATTAGTGTGGTTACCAGGCTTTTGGGATTATGTGCTCCTGCTCATCAAAAATGACACCAAGGGGCCAAGAAGATCCGTTCATTTCGCGGTGCAGGCTAAAATCAAAGAAAAGAAACTGTAATGGCCAAACGAACGTTCAGTCAAAATAAGTTTTAATATGTTCCAGGTGCATTAAAACAACATCTATGCAAATACTTCATCTTCTTTAAAGTGGCTATACACCTTACAATCATTGTACAACTTTTGTTGTCCAGACATCTCACCCTCGCTCAATTTCTTACAACTAGCCCATCATGCACAGACCAATGTAGTTCACAATTAACGTTCATCAGCATCACCACCTGGCTGATTTTCATCAATCGAAAGAACAGGTTTTCGTTTGAGCATGTGCAGTTTTCATCTTGAGATTTTTGTTGTACAACAATGCCAATAACCTGTCAATTTTCCTCCCATTAGACAAATGTTTCCCCAGTCATCTTCCAGGACAGCCAATGAGATAAGGCTCCGCCTGCCTGCAACAGGAAACACATCAACCACATTTAAATAAATAGACCCCTCCTTCCATCCCAATTCAGTTTTTTTGTGTTTCCTCCGGCTACACAGGGACATCGTAATGTTTGTTATTTTCAGGGCTCAAATTTGTTTGCCTTAAGGCTGAGCCTAACCTACAGGGATTCTTGGCCAAGGTTCCCCTCCATCATTCAGGGAAGGCAACCATCCTCCTGCACGTGAGTGGCGCCAGACGGTGACCCCCCGGTGTCTGCTTAATAGACAAAAATCTGCCAGTTGTACAGTAATTGAGGTTGTGCACTTCCCATCAACTGGCAGATTTTCTGACGAAAACAAAATAGCAGGCAAAAATCTGCAGATAATTGTAAGATGCATGGGCACCTTTTTTTAGAAAGCAGCTACGGCATGGCTAGAAAAACCTGTCCTGACTGCATGCTGTAAAGGACCAGTGGTCTCTGTGCAGAGGTCCGACATGTCTCCTGCTTGGTTCCGCTTTCATTTTTCTCTCTTCACGTGGAGTCAACCCCATTGCATTGCTACCCCAGATGTGCCAACAAATCTGTAGATATTTTTCAGTCCTGAAATTGTGGTAGAGAAGATAAAACTGAAAGGGTAATATGTCCATTACTTCTGTGCGGTCCTTAATAAATGATGACTTGGAAATCAGTGCAGAGTGCAGCAGTATTAGTGTAATGCTTCACTCTATTTCTGTTCTATTTTATGAATTTGCCAGCAGAGTACAGACAGGGTTAATAATGGTAAACTTAACTTCCTAGCCCCCTCCTTAACAGTCAATGGAGCACTAAATAGGTCTTTCAGAGTTGAAACGGTAGCAGCAATTTAACCCCTTCGTGACTGACGACGTATTGAAAAAAGGGCCTCAGTCATGAAGGGGTTAAAAACATTTTTTTAGAGACCTGTAGGAGAAGTTGATGGAAGTACAACAGCATCTCTTAATCCCAAACCAAAAATGTAATACAACTTGCCAGTTCTTTGATGTCTTGGCTGCTTGTGTCCCCCCCCCC